ACTTTTTCTTATTTTACCCAACTCTCCTGGTCTCTGAAAAGTCATTTCAACTCCCGATTTGCCGCAACACCCTCACATTCTTGTCCCTTTTGTGTTTGCTGCTTCACAATATCTCAGGTATGTGCTTCTCTTGAAAACTGTTCCTCACTTCCACCATATCCAGATGATTGCTTGACCTCCTCCTATAAAAGTTTTGCCTAAACTAATGTCACCTCTATACATGTCTCTTAGAGCTCCTCTATGAACTCACTGCTTACTAGGTGAGCCCCATTCTTCAAAATATTCCAGGTTGATCCTATTGGTCATTTCTCAGGTTAGTTCCACTCAGTTTTTCCAAATCTAACTCCCTAAATATCTGTCAGCCACACTTAACTACACCTTTCCTACTTTTCTGGGCTTTTGCTAATGTATCATGTAGGAATCGTATGGTTTCAGGAAGAAGAAAACCCAACTCAAATTGGATTTAACAGTTACAGGATTTTATTGAATCATGTAATTAGAAGGTTCAAAGGTAATCTTAGCTCTAGGAGGAGGAGAACCTATGGCATGTGTGCTGCAGTGGGCTGTTTATCTTTGAAAGCTCTGAAAGATTCATCATGACTGGTCTAAGAGTTCAAACAATATAACTAGTTGTTATGGTTTGGGTATGTTTTGAGTAGGTCCCCCAAAGGCTCATGTATTAGAAGGTTGGTCCCCCCCTGTGGTGATGTTAAGAGCTGGTAGGGCCTTTAAAAGATGGGCCCCTGGTGGGAGCCCTGAGCTGTAGATCACTATGGCCAGACCTTACTTGCCTCCTCCCTAGAATAAGGCAGGGCTCTCTGTGAGGATAACAGGTGACAAGAGGGTGTGGTGGAGCAAGGCCTGGTGAGAAGTGGATATGTCTTCTTCCCCATGCATTCTCCATAAAGCCATCAAAGCATGATATTCTGCAGACCTTAGCTACTCTCCTGGCTCTGGTTATAGACCAGCCTCTTTTACCTCCCCCTGCGCTTCCCTTTATCTCAGCACTATAAATGAATGCTCTGCAGTTGCCTGGTGGTCTTTTTCTCCCATCAGGAAGAAGAGTCTCACCAAGCCCCAGCTTTGTTTCTCTTTGTTCTCTTGAATTTCTTTGTTTTTTCTTAATCCCCCACCATCTTTTCTCACTCCGTGGATCCTTCAGCCACGTAGGCTATGGCAGGTCCCAGTGGGAAGTGATTAGGTCATTGAGGGCACTGCTTTTAAAAGGAAGGAATTGGTGTAGTTCTCCTGAGACCCTGCTTAATTCTTGTGACAGTTGTTATAAAGCAGCGAGCCTGGCTCCTGAATCTGTCTCAGGCTTCTTATCTGGCCAGGTAATCTCTACCTGTGGCAGGTGCTCCAGTCAGTGTAATGCCAACCACTATGAGGTCTTCACCACAGCCAAGCCAATGACAGTGCTATGCCCACGAACTTCTCAAGCTATGAGCTAAATAAACCTCTTTTATCTACAAACTGTCCAGCTTCAGCAATAGAAAATGGGCAAATACATGGATATTCACTTTCTGTCTATATAGTTCTCAGTTCTATTCCTTTGGTATTGAGTACATTCTTTTTTTTTTCAGTACTGTGGATTGAACTCAGGACCTTGCACTTGTGAGGTAGGCACAGTGCCACTGAGCTAAATCCCTAGCTTTGAGTACATTCTTGATCAGCTCTTCTCACACCAATAGTTTAGAAGATTATATTCTTCCAGGTTCAGATCCAACATTAAAGAGAGTCTCTTTCCAGATAGCTTGATTTAAGACCAGAAACTGAGCTTCATTAGGTCTGATTGGCTGATTATTTTTTTACATCCTGTAAATACTAAATTACTGGGGGAAGGTGAATACAGACTATCTTAATCACACTACCAAGGCTGGCCAGAAGTGGGTAGCTAGCAGGATCAAGACTTGAAAGTTTTCTGCTGCCCAACCTGTGACTTTGGTCACATGCTGACCTGGATTTTACCCTGGAAGTATGGATACCAAATTCTAGTCAGGGAATGGACAATAGGGTGTGACAAGTAGGCAGTATTATGTGACAAGTATTGAGTGCTCTCTTACATAAATTGAGTGCTCTTTTTGTGAGGGTGAGATGAAGCCTGCTGCAGTTTGCAAGCAGTAAATTCATGGTACTGTACTAGGTGAAAGGGAGAATCAGGAAATGGATGCTGGGGAGTCATTCAGCCAATGTCCACTCTACCCTCTTAACCTGTGGTCTAGCCTTTTTCACTTCCAGGTGAAGCCCACAGGATTCTGGCGATGACCCACAGCTCCCTTATGAAGTTGAAATTCCCTCAGAGTCTCTTCTAAATACTCCCTCGTCACACTGCCAGGCTGGGACCATGCTGATACATGAATTCGCTGTGAAGTAGGAAAGTCAGTGAAGTTAGCTCATCATGTTCCCTTATTCTCTGAGTTCAGTGACTTTCATTTTAAATGGGACACAATGTGTTGATCCAATAAAGTGAATCACAAATGTGGGATTTCAGGACCAATGGAGAAGACATGTTTGGAGTTCTTTTCATTGTACCCATTTCTTGATTTCTCTTCCTGTGGGGAGGACTGAGTATGGTGTCTCCCTAACATGCAAGAGGTTTGGACCCCCCTTCCAGAAGGCAAGAAGAGGCTGTTTTGACACCTTGTCATCTCTGAGTCAATACTTGCCATCTTAGTTCTGAGATCTGACTTCCAATTCCACCTGTCTTCTGGTTTTTCTCCCTGCCATCTCCCTGCCATACTCAGTCTGCTTTTCTCTCCTTGCTGGGAGGCTACTTTCCACAGACTGACTCTCTTAGCCTCTTTTCTCATCTCATTTCTGGGTTTGACTGATGGAAGACACCAATTGGAATTTGGAAGGTGGGAGAGGGAAAGGTTTGGGGCATTTTTTCTCTATTCCTTCCTTGTTCCAGCATCACTTCTCAGCGATAGCTGTGTCCCTATACATACACTTGCACCACTCTCTGAGAACATTTTTCCTCCCCTTGATCCTTCCACCTGGGAGTGCTGATGGACTTCCTGCTGGATACCACATCTTAACTTGTTGGATATCTGAACTCTGCCTCCCCTTCTGAAAGGAGTCCTGCATCCATGTCTCTACATCTGAAACACCTGTTGTGAAGCCCATGTCTTGCTGGGGCCCTGACTGATACAACCCAACACTGGAGGAAGAAATAGCAGACACTCTCCTGGGAAGGCAGGCACCTAGCCAAGCTAGTTCTTCAGCAGAACCCGGGCCTGAGGCATTGGGAGTGGCTACTGCTTTGCTGTGCAACTTTAGCCTGTTCCTTACCTCTCTCTGGGCTTAAGTGGCTTCATCTATCCAAGAAAGATTGAATTTTATGATCTTGTATCATGATCCTGAAGGAAGTACATATTCTATGTTCCTAAGTGTCAAATTTGTACTATGGTTTAGGGGTACAGTTGGCCTTTTTCTGACTCAGAGCCTCCTTTATGGGGCTGGAATAGTGTCTGTAAAGGTATTTCACAAAAAAGGACTCAGAGCATCATGAGCTTGGAAAAAGTTCAAGTTTCTCCCAAGGGTCCACACTGAAGGGGAGAGTTGAAGTATCTCATAAGAAGCACAAGCTAGCTGAGCCTTGGTTTCAATATCTGGGAAATAGGTGTAAAGAGTGATCTCCTCGACACCTCAAAGAACTAGGACTGGAAGTCCCATTTGACCCCACTATTCCACTGCTGGGGATCTTCCCCAAAGAATTAAA